AATGCTCGAGTCGCGAAACGTCGCCGTTTATATACCCGTCAACGGTAGGCCAGGGGGCCTGAGAGGTGCGGAAGAATTGAGCGTCGCGATGCCTATGAATTGTTATTACTTGATATTTAGGGTTATTCGGGTTAACGGGATCTTATTATTACCGCGATACGAATATCCTCGAATGTATACGTTACAGTATATATATACTGTAACAAAAATGTTACTACAGGCTTCTCCCCGCCTTCTGGCTCGAGGCTCCCACAGGCCTTGAGTATTGCGTCTAGTATGTAGTATTGTTAATTGCGTATATTTAGTGTTCTAGGTCTATTATAACTAGTCGTAAGATTCCTTTCCTCCACCCTTCCTCCCTGTCATCATTCCCCGTAGGGCACTGGCTCGAGGACCATCAACGAGGACCGTCATCGTGGAACCTTTAGGAAGACAACAGCATCCTAGGAAGGATTGAGAGAGCGGCTACGTCGCCGAGGCAGCGGAAGGCAGGGATGGCATGGACAGGAGGAACAGCTGATCGAGACGCCCGTGGGATGGATGCCCACCAGCCACCACCATCGCCGCGGAGATGCTGCCCCGGTGCAGTCCCGTCACACGAGTAGTAAAGAGGCCCGTGTGACAGGGATGGAGCCCTCTCCCTCCAGCCCCGAAGACTTCCACGAGAGGATGTTTTGACAGGCCTGGAGGCCGCCATCTGACCGGCGCGCGTAGACAGCCCGCGCGCCGGCAATGCCAGCGTCTGGTCGCCTGCCCGCGAGGCCCTGGAAGGCCCGGCAGTCCGGGAATATGAAAAGGACCAATGACCTGCCATGCCGGAACTTCTGACCAATGCCAGAGCGCGTAGCCCTCTCAGCCGAGCAGCTCCACCAATCAGCGAGGCCCTGGAGGCCCGCGAGGACAGGATAGCGACAAAAGGACTTCACTTCGAGTCAGGCTGCGATAGTACACGGATAAAGTGCGAGCGAGTTGCGAATTTCCTTTTTTCTGTTCTTGGCGAGTGCGTGAGAGGAATACTGTGTGATTTAAATTATCAGTGTATTGCGGATTGTGCGTGAATACTCTGAGTGATTGAGTTTCTCCTTTTGCCATTCTTTCCCTATCCCCTTTTTACTAGTTACGCTTTAGTATCTCGTAGGTCCCCTCCGGACAATAGCGAGCCGTCCCACGTAGACCGGGCATTTCTAGTTTCTTTCTTTCTAGTTGCGACGGGCCATCCGCCCTTACGGTCGAGGCCCGTGGTGTATTGCGTGCGCTTTAATATTTAGTATCTTGCGCTCCCTTTTCAGAAACCCTCCGTACCCTCCTCCTTCCACCGTTTACCCATTTCTGCGTTTTCACCGAGGTATAATAAGTAGCCATTATCGCGTTCGGGAACCTTCCTCCCTGAGATCCCCTCACCTCTCCCTCCTGGGAGCTGGCGCCCATATATTGTTCGAGTTCTATTCCTCAGCTAACACCCCCCGCCCTGTCCCTCCAGTCATCCCTCTTTCAATCGCGTCCACTTAAAGCCCTCCAACACCGCGTGCTCCAGCGTGAGCCCGACTCCGATTATTTTGACTAGTGATTGTAATTTGTAATATTGAGTATTGTACCTTTAGTTTATCTTTTAACTTCCTTTCTGTTATATTTCTTGGTACTGTTTCTTTTGGTTCGATTGATTATATTCTTTTCTATCTCAGCCGTGTCCCCTTTCATTTCACGCTCCCCTCCCCTGGTTGTTATTGCGGTAGCTAATTTGAGCTGACCTTGGGTGAAACCATCTACCCAGTACGTCACAATATACATTAACTTATATATTATATTAACGATCTCGTCTTGTATGCCAATAAAGTTGCGATAATTAAGCTGGCGTTATTCGATTCATATTATATATATGAGACCTTCCAGGTCTATCAGGCAACCGGATATAATACCAATCAGGGCATGATCAGGACCACATATGTTCCCTAATGTGGGCCTGATCAGTAGCCTGATCAGGGGCGGATCAGAAATGCCGTTACATGCCACATCAGGGTCGAAAGAGCGGCATTATCCGAGCCGGATTATTAGTTAGGGACAGCCTGATGCGGCCCGGATCCCGGTCGGAATAAATTTCTGCTCGGGTGGTGTTCAGCAAGCCAGGCCGACGCGTAGAGGGGGTAGCCTATTCCCCTCGCTCGGGACACCAATTCTGTTACGAGTCCAGGCGTCCAGTATAAGAGTGTCCAGTATAATTTCAACATGAGTCCGCATAAGCCCCTCTCACTCGCAGTTAGTGATGTCTCAGAGATAGCCTGCACTGCGTATAAGAGCGTCTAACTTGTGTCTAGCGCGAGTCGCCCATAAGCGTTAGGCCACTGTTGGCAGCGAGTGAGAGAGTCTTACAGGCGACTCGTGCTAGTCGCAAGTGAGACGCTGTTATACGCAGTGCAGGCTATCTCTGGGACCTTTTTGGGTTGAGAGCCCTCACGCAAGGGGTGCCTAACCTCCAGGATGTACTACCGGTATACCGAGAACTTTGAACGGCTACGGTTTACAGCTCCGCGGGGAAGGCGCCAAAGAGAATGATTATTGTGATTTTTGACCTACCGCGGAAAGCGGTAAGGAGACAAGACAGTGTGTTGCAGAGAGTCTGTGTGTAAGGACTCGGATGTCTGGCAAATCGCGAGAAAATGAGTTCCTCTTCCGTGCTCGTGCGATAGTCGATCTATCGGATAATCGCGGATCGCGATTATCCAGATTTGTCGCAGAAAAACATGGCTTCTCGGTTTTTTTATAGTATAGTGCCAGGGCGTGAACGAGTGCGTGAAACCCCGAGGGCCCTGTGGACGCCCTCGTGGAATTGGGACGCGGCACCAGGGAAGTAGGCGGAACGGACAAGGCCGCCACTATTTGGATTCATTAAGGCATTATCATAGGATATTGCAGTTTTCAGTTAGTGCTTGACTGTTCAACTGAGAACTTTGGTTCTCAGCGAGTGACATCCAATCGGCATGTCTACGGCTGACGTCACCCTGCCCAAAATCACCGAGAAACAAAAGCAAGGGAAGAAACCACAGAGTTCGTACGTGCCTACATTTCTCTTGACGCCTCCCTCTGATTGGTCAACTTTGACTTACTCCCATTTAAAAACTATGACCTTCCGGAGAAAAGGAAGGTTATTTTCGGGATCAGTGGTATCTCCCGAGCATCGCCATACCCCGTTGATCAGGTAATTTCGGAACACCCTGTATAGTGTGTACAGTATTTTGAAGTATATTGTCCAATTGTTATTCATTATCTATTTAATTACCGTGTTACATTCCGGTTACGCTTAAACGCGAAGAGACATAACCCCGTGGGTCTTGCTCGTGTGCGCTCCCATCTCCGCCCTTAAGCCCGCCCCGAAGTGGAGCTACGAGCTACGAACTGATGAAGTTTACATTATTTTCAGCTAGATGAAGAGCTGCGGTAACGGACCAGTGAAAGCAATGCTTTTTTGTTTTACACATCCTTCAGTAGTTTGATGAAGGTAGATAGACCACCATGTATTGGAATATATTTGTTGATGTTCACCACCTAGTTTATAATTCCAAGCAATGACCCAGCCTGATTCCCTTTCTTGAAAGTCTTCAATTTTAGTCAGTATTTCTTCCTGCACAATTATATCGGTAGATGGTATAATAACTTCGTTCTTAGTATTCAAGAACTTTAGTTCTTCAACAATCTTCAACTTTCACGATATATGGACGGTTTTATTAATTATTTTACAATCAATTAAGCACTGAAGGCTACAATGATATGGACATTTTTTTTTTATTCAATGCATATGGAACGTTGGCAAACTTTGATTGTGCATATACCTTAAGGAGAATTTTCTGTGTAAATCATAGCGATCAGTCATCTTTAAGGTTCATCTCACTCATTAATCATCTCACTTTCAAATTTCCGTCCTTTCGGAGTGCATTTTTTACTCTAGCAGTGAATAATTTTTTGGAATCTTCCAGGAAACGTTCCAAGTCCTTGTGTCGCAAGTTTGCAATCACTCCAGCCCTTATACTTCCCTTAAAGGCAGATTCCAAGTCATCCCCACACACTCTGTCACTTCTTCTCTCTCTCTCGCTGTTCCTTCCCCTCTTCTTTGAAGTTGTTGTGTAAACTTTTCGTATAGAGTTGAGGATTTCAATCGTTGTTAAAATTTTAATTTTCTCTCCGATCATAAAAGTAAAGTTTCTCAAAATTTTATTCAAAAGTCTGATATTATGAGTACCAAATTTCATCCATTTTTCAATTTCTGTGACATTTTGTTGACACCAATAATGCACTTGAGTATTTGAATAACAATGATCGCTGCACATCATCGAAGGGCCTTTTATACGAAGGTTTCAAGGTTTTCTTGGAATTCTTTTGCATCGTTTCGAGCGATAAGACACTCACCCGAATTGCGCACTTTGAGTTCGAACCCTACAACAAAAAGTATCCAACGCGCATTCGGAAATGCACAAAGGGTCACTTATCTTCTACGAGTAATTCGATATCCTGGATAACAAGATCAAAACAGTGTTCATCTGCCGCCTGAAATCTGTATAGGGGTCAGGGGAGTCATCGAAAGCTTCGGGATGGGGGCTGCCGTTCGAAACCTACACGAACCTGCACGAGTTGACAAATTGACATAACAGAGTAATTAAAATAAATATGGAAAAATCATCACGTGTGTTTTACATGCGGCTGTTGGGTACATAGCTCGAACCTGTGATTTGTCGGAATGCTCGAAGTGAGAGATTGTGACACTTCTATTTATTGAGCCATCGGCTCAATTCGTGAATGTTACTTGGATTAAGAATTGTAATCGTGAATATTTATATAATGAAAACGTTCTAAAATAAATAAAAATAAAAATAAAAATAAAAATAGCCTCCACATTCTCTATCTAGTGTTAATACTACAAATTTATTTACTGTATAGTTTTATAAGTGTGATGAAACTGTGATTTCTATATTAACTTATATAGACAATAAATGAAGATATAAGATACGTACTTTCTGCCTATCTTTCATCGATCCTCGTCCTAATACAGCCATCTTGCACATAGTTTCTTCCTGTAGCCGTTTCATGGAGTTACCCTTAGGACCCAACAATTTTCCAACAAAGTTGAACTGTAAACATCAAAAACAGATATCAAGATTGTTATAAGATAAATTTTGGAAGTTATGATATAAGAGTTAATATCATTAGTTAAAAAATGTTGGTTAAGAATAACAGTAATCCTTGATTAGCAGTATCGACGGCGAAACCCTTTTTTTTGTTAACGCTAACTAATATAGACAGCGAAAACTATGTTCTGGTATTCGACTATTGTTAGTAGTCAAATCTTATATATTCTATTAGGCAAACAAGCGGTATGAAAATATATGAAACAAAGAATGGGATAAAAGATATTGTAGTATAATACTTTTATTAACATGTGTGCGTGTGTGCGTATTATATGTTATATAATATACACGCACGTCCGCACATGAACGCGCGCGTATTGTGACGCGAATTTCGGAAATTCAGTCACAAAGATTGATAGGAATAGGGAAAAAACACAATCCACCTGCAACGATCCTCCAACCATCAGTCACCCGACATTCCAAAGACGGCTTTGCTTGTCTCGCTTACCGTTTATGCACTCTGTTTCCGCCTATCGTCCTTTCTGCTTATTTCTGTTCCGTCTTTCTGCTTTTCCGTTTTTATTTTTTATTTTCGAGCTTTCCTATTCGCACTCGTCTACCTTCTTTACCGCCCTGGGCAAATCTACGTCTACACCACGAGCACGAAGCTGACCGTCAACGAAAGTTCCTGAGCTACCGGACGAGCAATCGACAGAGACTGGACCAAACTGCTGTTCGTTCCGGAGGACTTCCGTGGAGCCAGGAAGACCTGGGATGGGATCCCTCTAATACTTCTGCCGGCTGCCCATACGGACCGCAAAAAAGGGGCCTTCGCCACTCGTGCCGCCGATAGGAGGAAAGGATAATCCTCTATCGTGCCGCCCAGTCGCCGAACGTTCCCTAGCGCTCCTGTTATCAGTGGCCCCCGGAGAAGAAACCAGGGCCTACGCTTCGCTAGATCCTGCTGCTCGCACCGAGGACTCACGATCGGCCGCACTAAGGACTCTCGCGCTCAGCTCGGCGCTCTCCGCCTATCTTCGGACTCGAGCCACCTAATGCTTCGTCTCTGGCTACAGTCAAGCGTTAGATTTACCTATTTTTTATAATTTTATTTTGCTATCGCTCTATCGTGCGAATTAGAAATTATTAATTTATGGAGAGGGGCCCTTAGGGCTCTTCCTCTAGCGACGAATTCCGGCTCGTTCACTTACGTTTGGAGTATTTCAGCTAGTGGTCGCGTTAAATAATCCGTCCTAGTGTACAAAGAGTAGCCGATATCCGAATTATCTTGCGCCGAAGTTAAAGGAAGTCTCTGGACTTACCTCTCCCGACATCACTCTAGTAGAGAATATGGTATATTGAAGGAAGGAAGGAAGTCTGAGAACCAATTGTCCCGATTTCGTGTCTTAGATATTTGGTGAGCACCTTTCGTTACCTTTATTTTGGAGATTTTGTGAATTTAACTGAAATAATCCCGTCTAGGCTCTTTTTCTCGACGGCAAATTTTCTCGCTTACCGGGACTGAATGTCGTTCCAGTCCCTCTAAGTAAAAGGACGATAGTGCCAGATACCGTTATCTTATTCAGCTTTTCTTTTATTATCGTAGAGCATCTTTTATACCGAATGTATGGTAATTAATTGCGTTTTGCTGTAATTTAGTGCTTTGGAATTATGGAATATTTTCTGAGTTACCGGTTATCTTCTCGACCACGTGGAAACACCAGGGGCGCCGGCGTCTCCGGCTTGGCCGTTTCCCCGTGAGTCTGTCTGGTTGTTCTAATTGACTATCTTTTTGGCTTTTCTATCTTTTCCGGCCTTATATGTCGCATTATTATATGGAATTTTGACTCTGAATCTTTCTTTGCTCTGCCTTATATTGTTCACGTATTTTTCGCTTTCGTTATTAGGAATGGCATCCTCCGCTTTATTTAATTAATATTTCTATACAAGACACAAGACCAATTGTATTCGGACGCGAAATCGACCACGGTGGTTTCGCTTGTTTCCCTAGCGGCTCCGGGTCACAAAGTTCCCCGTGCACGCGGTGACCTTCATAGACACTAGGAGACGGGTCTCCTGTCGAGGTCGATAACGGCCTCGGATTGACGCCTTGTCCTGTGGCCGAGCCGGCTTTGGGATTATGTGGCCACAGAAACCTCATGGTTATTTGCGCACGCTAGGCTACGCCGCCGAGGTCGACTACTTTCTTTCAAAGATACATGGACTTTCCCTGACATGACAATCTTTCCGCTGCCCTCGAGCCATCTTTCACAACATTTACAAAGGCAGTTTCATACATCATGTGTGAAGATAAGTATCAATACAGGTACATATTCAACGCTACTATGTTAGCGTAATCGTAACGCAAATATAAAACGCAACTATGATCGTAACTAAGAACGGAACCAAAGCACTTGATTCTATTTAAATTTCATGAGTTTTCTGTGCTATATTTCATTTACACTAATCGATCTGTTCAAGTTATACACGGCGAAGTAATTTATCGAAAGATCTCATTTCTCCCGTTAATGATTAGCTTTCTAAACTGGTAATTTTATTATCTTGGATTAACTAGGGCTTAATATAACTTAATTTATTTTAAAATATTCAGTGTAGCGGTTCCTACCGCTCTTGCGTTCTAGTCCTCCTGATTTGTAAGTCGCACTTAAGTTTCAGATTTTTAGTTTATATAGCTTTTCAAGATTTTCTCTGCTTTATAAACCTAGTCATAAGAACTTTTGTTAAATATTATGTCGTCTCCTTTCGCACCAAGGCAAGGCACTGCTACACGCCTTCGCCTAACGCTTTCTTAGCTTGTTGCATTACTTTACTTTCATTCTATGCTGTGCATGATGTTATACTTGATGTTGCTATAACACAGTTCCGGTGCGTTAAATTAACTTGAGTATTTTTCAAAGTTTGTTTCTAACCCTCCTATCCTGCTTCGAGACGCCGCTCTTCCAGCCGAGCTAATCTTAGAATCGGACATAAAATATAGTTCCGTAGCCGTGAGTCTTCCTAGATAACTTCGCCTTTGGAGATCCGGATCCCATTAGTATTTAGATGTAAGTTATCGCTTAACTATTTAGGTTTTCAGTATTATCGAGTAAACTATCCCAAGGATTCTTGCCTGCTGATGTCTCCCTCGGAGGTAGTAGTTTGAGATTAGTATTTGGGGCCCTGACCACTAGTTTCAGATTTTCCAGAGTTATCGAGTTAGGTTAGGTGTAGACTTAGTTTTGCTTCGGTATCATTTTTCTCTTTAGTTTGTCATTGGATTTAGATCAAACTTACAGGGTGGACTCACTTTTGCGACATCTTGGGAGAATTATTTAAAAGTTAAAAAGGAAAATAACGTCGCAGTACATATGATAACGAGGTGCCCGGCTCGCCCTCGCTATAATTAATTTATCCAGAAGGCCGCCCGGGAGCGATAGACCGGTAGGAATTTCCGAAAAATTAGGACTTCTGATCGAGGCCGGACCACCACTGTGTCACTGAACCCACTATCCGACCTGATAAGTACTATTTATTAATTTTTCGGTCATTCTTAAGTGGTCTCCCCTCCAGCTCAGTAACGCCACGTTACAATATATACCAGTGCCCACATAGCATGAGATATTCTTTGTATATTTGTTTTAGGTCCATAATGTCAAAAATATATCTTGTATGTTCTATGGATATGTTTTCTGCATACATCTATGTATACATGCATAAATGTCTAGAATACATTGTATGTACATACGTCAATTTTTAATTTACTCCATGTTTTATGGAAATATTCGTTAAATATTATATGCATTGTGACGCGCCGGACCACGAAAATGGCCCAGGGTCTCGCAAATACAGCTATCTCAATAACACGGGTGAGGGGGAGGGAATCGAAGAAAGGGGACACGGTGTAGAATAAAAAGAATATAATTAACAGTGAAAATGCCAATACAAAGAAAAGAATAGAAACGAAAAGATGCTCAAACAGAAGCTAGGATTTTCGCCATTTAATAACGCAAGAGACGCAACGCTAGACTACACGCAACCAAAACAATACACGCGGGTGCTCGTTCGGGAGCACGCGGTGTCAAAAGGGACCTTTAAACGGGCTAGTGGGCGAAGGGACTCAGGGGACGAGGGAGCAGGGTATTAGCAAGGGGGCAGGAGGGAGAAAACAACAACTGGGCGCCAGCTACTTGTTCGGCGTAGCACCGTCGAGTGACCGCAGAAGGTCCTCGAATATTTACACAAACTCGAAATGGCACGGCTAGCAGGGGAAGAGGTGAGGGGGTCTCAGGGAGGAAGGTTCCCGAACGCAAAATGGCTACTTTATAAATTACCTCGGTATCAGAACGCAAAGAGGGAAAAGGGAAGGGAGAGGGCACGGGGGTTTTCCAAAAAGGGCGCAAACTATTCTAAGACGCACGCAATATACCACTGGCCTCGAGCGGTTGGCGGAAGGCCAGACTAAAACTCAAAAGATCTACTACGCAAAAAGGCCGGTCCACGTGAGGACGGCTCGCCAAATCCAAAAGGGAGTCTATTCTCAATCTCTTAGAACGCAAAAGCAAAAGGGGGTAGGGGAAAAGGTGGGAGATAGGGAAAACTCAATCACGCAACAATAGTACTCACTCAAAACACTATACAGCATCCAAAGCACAATAATCCAAATGATTGCACTCCACACTCCCTCACTCGCACTCAAAATTCGCATACGTTAAATTCTCGCTCGTTCGCTACTGGGGCCTGGCTCGAAGTGATAAGATTTCCGGTCGTCCGGGTCCTCGTGGGCCTCCAGGGCCTCGTTGATTAGCTGGGGCTGCTCAGCTGAGAGGGCTACGCGCTCCGGCATTGGTCGGCAGTTCCGGCATGGCAGGGCATTGGTCTGGTTCAAATCAGCTGGGTTGCCGGGCCTTCCAGAGCCTCGTGGCGGTGGCACGGCGCTGGCTTTGCCGGCGCGTGCTGGCTGCGCGCGCCGGTCAAGATGGCGGCCTCCAGGCCTGTCAAATCCT